GAGAAATCAGCTGGTGAAAGGTAGGAGATGGGAGAGTATGAACCATCTCAAAACTGGCAGCAAGTCCAAACTCCAACATGAGCTCAGTGCAAGGGAGGCCACAGCCTTAGCTCAACTGGTTCCAATGCCCTTGCCCTTGATCCTTCAAGACTCAGCTCAGCAAAGATGTGTGCCTGTGGGTACTGCCCCGAGCAGCCTGTGAGTGAGGCAAAAGGGAGACAACCTAAGTGTCCACCAGCAGGGATGGGCTGAAAAATTGTGATACAGACACACAATGGAATCCTTTATGTCTCTCCTTTCCTATTCTCCAAATCTATTGGCCAGTTCTATTGCTACTATCTCTAAAACATATCCTAATTCCATTTCTTTTCCCCTCCTTTCTATGCAAAGTTACCACCATCATCTTTCACCTGGACAACTCAATCAGATCCTCCATTGATCTCCCTGAGTCCACTCTTCCCTTCCTAGATTATATTCTTCAAACGCAGACAGATCAAATTAAACAGGGATCACATCAGATTACTGTTTAAATTCTCTCAATACAACTCAAACCTCATCGCCCAAATGCTCCCACCCCACTGTCCTCCTTTCCCCTCTAAGTTTATTTGTACCCCAGGGCCTTTGAATACTTTGCCCTAGCTATTCTCAAGGCTGGCTTCTTCCTGCCAGTCAGGTCGCCCTGTGACAGTATACAGTAGTGAGTAGGCATGAAACACAAAGATGCACAGCTCACAGACATAATGTTGAACAGAAAGGCCAGATACAAAGGAACATTTACATAAAGTATGACTGCATTTACATAAAGTTCAATGTCAGGTATGAGAGATTGAGTGATTTTGCTGGGAAAAGAGGAGTGACTGGGAGGGAGTAGGAAAGAAACTTCTGGGGACTGCAAATATTGTTTTCAGAGCTGATTACATGAGTGTGTTCACTTGGTGAAAGTTCATCTAGCTACACGCTTAATATGTGATGTACCCTTGGACCTTTTCTGGGTGTATATTATAATGTTTCATATAATGTTTACAGAATGGAAACATTTTGGCTGCCCATAATCCTTCCTATGATTTGGGAATTTTCCATCTATGAGCCTTGGTAGGGAGGCCATGCTCCACCACTTTGTAATAATAAAATATTACAAAGGCCACCCACTGGCTCTCACAACCTCCTTATAGCTAATCTGGGCTTTACTCAGCAAATGCACCCTCCCCCTCCATGGCTTAAATCACCTTGGAGAACCAGGATTTATGTACCTGGATGTTTTGGAGCCCAGAGCTGCAGCTTGACGCATGGAAAGGGCTCACTGCGTCTTGATGAGTGGACCCCCACAAGATACACATTTCCTCTTCCAGCAAAATAATAACAGTATTGGGCCATTCTACACTTGGGAGCACATCATTCTTTCAACAAATGTTTACTGTGTGTCTACTGGGTGCCAGGGACTTTTCCAGGCACTAGGGATCCAGGTGAACAAAACACTGGAGCTGATACTAGTGGGGAAAATGAACAATAAACAAAATAAGTAAACGATATAATTAGGTAGTGCCACAGAGAAAAATAGAGAAGGGAGATGAGGATCTCCTTGCAAAGGCAATATATGAACAAAGGCTTGAAGGACGTGAGGGAACCATGTAGGGTATGAGAGAAAAGCTTGCCTAGCAGCAGGAAGAGCCAGTGCAAGGGCCCCGAGACAGGCACATACCGAGTGTCTGTGGAGCACTGAGGAGGCCTATGTGCCTGGAGCAGAGAAGAGAAGTCACAGGTAATGGGAATAGATTGTGTAGCTATTGGCCACAGTAAGGACTTTGGCTTTCACTCAGGTTAAAATGGAGCCATGAGAAGGTTCTCAGCAGAGGGATGGATCTGCTTGGGTGATTAACAGTATTCCTCTGGCCCTGTCCAACCCTCTTCCTTACCCAAGATGGAAACCAATCTTGACAAGAAACAGACATTTGGTAATTTGTGTGGCAAATGTCTACGAGAAATAAATAAGCCAAAGGCTCTTCACCCACTTCCTCCAACCCATCAAGGTCTCATGCTGGCCAGGAGGACTTTGCAAGATTGATTAGCAATCCACATCACATTACAGACACCAGACCCTCCTCCACTGGCCACTGGGAGAATCCCCAAAGCTATGGAAAGCAGTCTAACACCACATGCCAGGAAAGCACCATCTTGGTGGTTAGCTAGAGTCAAAATCAAATTCCAACTCTGCCTCTTAGCAGCTGTGTGAACTATGATTCATTACTAGACTTTTCTGGGTCCCAAGCTTCCTTATCAGTAAAGTGGGAGGGTGTGGGGGATAGTAATTTCCACCCTTAATAAGCCTGTTGGGGGAGTTAAATTAGGTAACAGGGATCAAGTGACTGGCAAAGTGCTGGGCACAGAGAGAGCCTAAAAGATGTTAGCAAAGGTGTTATTATAACTGAAATACCAAAGAAATAATAGCGACATTTTCAACATCTCAAGTCTGAGGATGTCCCTTGGGCAAACTGGACTCTGATATTAAGCATGGGGCTGAAGTGAAGGGTCCTCCAGAGGAGAAAGGCCTTCAGAATGTAAGTTTCTTTCTCCCTCTACCTATTCTCCATGGAATAACTGCCCAGGACAGCTTTATCCATGCCAGAGAAAGGAGATGGCCCACAGACATCTGGAGGAATTAGCATCAAATGGTATGGACACGTGTCTCAGCCCATCACAGGCACAAGCCCCTAGAGAAGAGACCCCAGCCTGTATCCATCTCTCTCAAGGAAATGTGAGAAAAGTGAGAGTTTTAACAGCATAAAAGGCACTCTGGGGAAATTTCTTGTCTCTTCCCCCTTGGGAATAGCAGTAGGTTCTTCAGTTTGCTCCATGCACGGAAGGCAAGGCCTCTGGGGAACTTGGGTCCACAACTGGAACATGGGGATTATAATAATTATTAAGGCTTGTTCACACTCATTCAGCACATACTTATTAAGCAACTTCTATGGCTCTAATGCTGATATGGAAGAAATGAAACATATTCTCACTCTCACTGCTCACATGCTAAGGAGGAAGGCACCAAAAGCAAACATACAACATTAGAGAATGACAAGTGCTACAAAAGTAATAATAATAATAATGATGATGATGATGATGATGATGATGCAGGAACAGAAAGGGCCATTTCATTTTTTTATTATTATTTTTTAAAAATATGGAACACTTCACGAATTTGCATGTCATTCTTGCGCAGGGCCATGCTAATCTTCTCTGTGTTGTTCCAATTTTAGTATATGTGCTGCCAAAGCGAGCACAGAAAGGGCCATTTTAGACAGGGTGCTTAGGAAGACTTCTTTGAGGTGGTGTCTCTGCCATGCAAGCAGAGACCTGAATAATGTAGTAAAATTATATATAAACACATACATATCCTATATACTAAAAACCTAATATGCAAATTGACCAAACAGCAGAATGACTGGTTGCTATGATGTGCACTGATCACCTGGGGCAGACACTCAACGCAGGAACTATCGCCAGCCTGCAGGCCCCAGGCCAGCCAAGGCGGGTGCCAGCGGGGGAGCCCCCAATTACCCCACCAGTCACCTCCCTCTGTGGGAGGCGGCCGGCAGCAGCAGGGGACAGGGCCAGTGAGCTGGCGGCACCAGGCCAGCCAAGGCAGGTGCCAGTGGGGGTGCCCCCTGATCGCCCCGTCAATCGTCCCTGATCGCCGGCCAGATCTAGGGACCCTACCCATGCATGAATGTCATGCAATGGGCCTCTAGTACATATATAATTTTGGATATGTCTTTATATACTAGAGGCCCAGTGCACGACATTTGTGCACTTGGGGGGTGGGGTTCCTCAGCCTGGTCTGTTCCCTCTCACAATGTGGGAGCCCCATGATCGATCTCCCTGAAGAGGTAGGCCCTGCCCACCCATCCGGGGCTCCTCGATGAATTGCCCCAAAGAGGTAGGTCGGAGCTGGGGGTGCCGCCTCCACGGCTCTGCGTGCACACAGCCCCGCATGCACGCAGTCGCGCCCACCCGTATGCAGCTGCAGCCTCCTGGTGATGGATTGTTATGGTGTGAGGGCATCATGACGTGAAGGCATGATGACCACATAGGCTTTTATTAGATATATATACACACACATATAGCCAAGAACACAGTGCTGCTATGGAAATCTAAAGTGCTCTAGTTTGATAGGTAAGAATGCTCCTGGGCTTCCAGGGATTGGAGTCTTCCCCAGATTCCAATATGCTCTCTGTGGCTGAGAAGTACTAATAAAGGGTGTTCCTTTTTTATACTTGGCAGTGTACCAGACATAGAAGGCACTCTTTATCAGGACCTTATTCCCCTTTCATCGTTGCACAGTATTCCACTGGACAGACAACGTGACTGATTGATCCAGTTCCCTATTAATGAACACCTAGGATAGTTCCCATTTTTTGCTCTGACAAACAGTGCCCTAATGAGCCACCTTGGACACAGATTATTCTCACACTTGGGAACATCTGTAGGCAAAAGCTCCCAGAAGTAGAACTGCTGGGGCAAAGGATAGTTGTGTCCAAGGGTCCCCTTGACAAATATTGCCAAAGTCCCATCCAAAGTGACACTAAAACTTCATTTCATTCCTGCGCTGCTAGCTCAGAGGTCCCAGGAAGAGGATACAGTAGGCATCTACGAGGGGACAGAGGGAACAATGACCCTTGCCAGCCTGCCTACAGTTGACTGGCCCAGGGAGAATAGCTGACCTCTGCTGGACCATCTTGAGAACCCCTTCCCTGGTCCTTGATAATGAATCCAAAGGAAGACATCTTTCTCTTCCTTGTGTTGTTTTGGGCTGGGGCTGGGAGAACACAGAGCTATTCTCTTTGAGAGCCTGAACTACAAGGTCTGTGGATGGCCAGGTTTCCCACCAAGTGAAGGGAAAGGCAAAAAGAGAGACTGTAATAGAAAATGAATATAGCAGATGTAGGGGGAAAGCAGTGAGGAAGAGAATCCTGATAATGGCATTTGTGTTCCATAGGCCACATTACCTGCGCTAGTCCAATCCAAGGGGAGCTCTGAAGCTTTGCACTATGGTTGGGGGACAGATATCCTCTTTCTCAGGCCAGAGCTGAGGAGAAATAAACCTGGATCAGTGCTGGCAGCCAGTCCTCCGGGGAAGCCAGTTTTGAGGATGACATGGACATCAGAGAGAAGAATGGAGGGAGAGAAAGAAAGTGGGTCATTGATGATGGCCCTGAGCTCCTGAATCAACTAGCCCAGAATCTCGCCCCACCTCTGAGCTTTCTAGTCATGTGAGCCAATCCTGTCCCTTGGAGTTTATGCCTGTTTGAATCAGTGTTTCTTTTCCATGCAACCAAGTAACTGACTGGTACATAGTCCTTCCTGAAGCCTTGTTTTGTTTCTCTGGGCCACCCAGCACCCTCTAGTTAAATCCTCCTTTGCCTAAGGTGCTCTGAGAGCAGTATAGCAATTTGGCCAAGGACCTAACTTGCCCAGCCAGTTTCCCCAGCTATGAAATGGGAATAACAAACACTTCCTTGGGTTTTAAAAGGATTAAACACATTAGCAATAATTATTCTAAAGTACTGAAGGGTAGCTGAAAGGCTTCAATCTCAAAAAGCAATTAGCTGCACCCCTCCCCCATTTTGTTTGCTGTTCCTTTGTTCAGGTCAGCAAGTCCATTCTTCACAAACAGTCCCAAAGAACAGCCAGCACATTTTCTGTCAGGAGGGTGGCAAATCTCATCTCAACAGGTGATCTGAGTAAAAGAGATTCCACTCAATTTATCTGGTAGCTGGTTGGTAGAGGAAGCCCTCATGAGCACATTTCTCCATCAAAAGCAAGCTGCGGTCTAAAGTTTCAAAACACAGGCTTGGGCACAGTCCCAGAAGAGGACAAAGGAAAGAGAGCCCGGATGGAAGAGAAACTGCTACACAGCAGGTTCCACAACTAACTGTTGGGAGGAGGACCCCAGGTTGGCTTGCAGCCACATCTGCTCTCTACAGAGCTATGAGGCAGCAGGAAGAAGGGACCCCTTCACGCCTGTATTTACAGCTGGGAACTGGCACAGGCCTGAGCAACTCAGTTGGAAATAAACTCAGCCAGGAAGTGAGAACTGGAAGACGCTTCCATAGCAACACCCATCTGGAGTTCTCTGCCCACAGCTGGAAACATTCAGAAGCAAAATTTATCTAGAGATATACACCAAATTCATTTTTTCCATTTGTACTGGAATGTGTTACTTAAACCTCACTTCTTTGGGGAGCCTCTGGGTAGGCCCTGTTCTGTGATTCAAAAAAATTCTTCTTCTTAACATTTAGAACACAGGACCTATCCGTGTGACCAGGTTTTCCCGCTGTCTGTGGGCTTCACGGGCAGGGTCTGTGTCTGCTTTGCTAATTGGTACCTGGCCCAAAACAGGCCTTCAATCAGTGTTTATTGAATAAATCAATCAACTGTTCTGTTCCCAATTTGATTGTTATTCATTACTTTAGCTAACATGTAAGCACCCATAAGTATGGACAGTGAGCTGAGCTGTGTATTTACTACTGTCATGCCCATCTAAAAACGGACTCCTTCTCAAAGTCAGAGCCACAGAAGAAACGGAGTTCTTTCATTTCTAGAGAAGGATGGGAGAGAGCGTGAATACCTAGAGCAAGACTGGGCATGTGGAGCAATGGGTGTTAAGGAATTTGCTTTCATTTTAAGAACTTTCTGAGTAGAAATTTTACAGGGCTGACGTACACCTCTGCAAGGAAGGCTGGAAACAGGCTGCTTGAGATACACAAACATTAAACAGACAGTTACACTCTGAGAGATTTCCACCAAACTGTCCTGCTCATGATATCTTACCTTTTCAAATTTTCTCCTGTTTATGAAAGAGGTATATGCTTATATATACATGTAAAAACTTATAAAATAAAGGTATAAAGAAGAATACAAAGTTACCCATATCTCCCCACCAAAGGATAATCACTATAAAAAAGGCCAGTGTGCTCAATGGTTACAGTCAGCCTGCGCACGGAAGAGTCTCAGATTCAATTTCCAGTCAAGGGCACATCCTGAGTTGCAGGTTTGATCCAGGGCCCCAGTGTGGGAGGCAACCAATTGATCCATGTGTCTCATATTGATGTTTGTTTCTCTCTCTTCCCCATGTCCTATCCGCTCTCTCTCTAAAAAAAAAAAAAAAAAAAAAAAATCAATGGAAAGATATCCTCTGGTAAGGATTAACAACAGCAAAAAAAGAGGTTGGTTCATTTCCTCCAGTCTTTTTTTTTTTCTATTATGAGCAGTATATGAATAGAGAAGAGAGAAAATCTCCTGTTCTTTAAAATCTTTCACTTGTGCTTTTCTAGGGGATTTTAAACAAGTGAAAAATCAATATTTTTAAATAGCAAAATTAAGCCTATTTCCCCAAACTACAGACTCAAGGAAGAAGAAGGATTCTCTTTTCCTCTCTTCCAATTTTTGTCTTCACAGAACCACTATTATAAACCAGTGGTTTTCAACCCTAACTGTGCCTGAGCATCACAGTGGGATATAATAATTGCATGGCCAGTATTACTTGAGCAACTACTACAGAAGAGGCTGTTTTAAACATTTTACAAACAATACTTAATTTTATACTTTCATCATTTTACAGATAAGGAAACTGAGGCAGAGATATTATGTGACTTTCATAAGGTCACATGGCCACTAAGTGGTGGCACTGGGATTTGAACCCAGGCCATCTGGTCCCAAGTGTCATGTTTTCCCTGGTCCACACAGTTCGAGACCCTAGCAACAGTGACACCAAATCTGAGCTTCAGGGCAAAGTTCCCAATGTCCCTATTGCCAAGTTTGTCATGATTATTCATACTTCTCTCCAGACTCATTTTTATTTCCTAAAGGAAATGAGAAATTGCTGGAATTCAGAAGTGAGACAACTGGAAGCTATAGCTGACCACATACACATGTGGGTCCCCTGCTGGACTTCCCAAGAAACATTCTTAATGAATGACTTTTCTGAAGGGGCTAGGGGTCAGTTCCTGGGTAGATCACCCTTCCATAATTGAGACCTCACCCAGCTCCAGATGGGATGTGAAGGCTCCTCCCTAACTTCACCATGTAGGAGGATGGAGAACTGGAAAACTCACAGCCCACTTCCTATTTACATGAATCTGCAGAAAGGGTTTGACAGGGACTTCTCTTGTGTTTACATCATTTGTGAGGTTGGAGTCAGTATTCGGTCACTGTGGGGGATCAGCCAGGTGTTTTTGCCATCATCGCACATGACTCCCTCCTCACGGCAAAACCAGATTAGCCACTAAGGGGAGGGTGGAGGGAAGAGTTCCCAAGAATTGATCACTAGGGAGTTTGTCTCCCCTACAGGTGGGAAGGGAAAAACCTCCATTTCAGGAAAATGTCGCTCAGTGCTCAATTCAGGGAAGGAGATGAAACATTGCTGCTTTGGGTCTGAGAGCTACTATCCTTCCAGCTACCCATGGAGAGGAGGACTGGAAAAACCAAGAGCTGCAAGGCTGCCCAACTCCATCTGTGTATAGCAGGGGCTCAGTAATGTTTCGCTGCTATTAAATTATTAGGCTGTGTGTGTGTGTGTGTGTGTTGGGGTGGTGAATGGGGCTGTTTGTTGTTGCTGTTGTTAACATTCTAAAAAAGTAGAAAGTACAGTAAACTCCCATGTACTTAAACTAGATTTGGTAATCATCAAGATTCTGCTGCATAAGCTTCATCTATTCTTAATTTGTTTCTTTCCCCCGTTTTTCCTCCTCATTGAATTATATTAAAGTAAATCCCAAATATGATGTCATTTCACCATTTCATGTTTCAGATTGCACCTCTGAAAAATATGGACACTGTCTGATGTGCCCATAATATTAGGCTGGTTTCATTACTGATCAAAATAACAATGAGGCTCAGCCATTTTGGCTCAGTGGTTAGAGTGTCAGCACACAGAGTGAAGGGTCCTGGTTTTGATTCTGTTCCAGGGCATGTGCCTCGGTTGCCCTGGTTGGGGCTCATGTGTGTGCGGGGGCAATCAATCAATGTTTCTTTCTCTCTGTCTCTCCCCCTCCTTTCTACTCCCTCTAAAAATCAATGGGGGAAAATATATCCTCAGGTGAGGAGTAACAATAACAACAAAATAACAATGAATATTTTCTGAAAAGATAAGACCCAGTATTGAAAAAGGAGTAGGGAAATGGGTCAGCTCAGCTGATGAAGTAATGCTTTTCTGGAGGACTTCCTGGCAGTACAAATCCAAAAAGAATTAACAACCTCTGCCTATCTTCTGACTCAAGTTTTCCATCATGCAATCATCAAAAAAATACTTATGGATGTCTATCACATGCCTGGAAGTATCCTAAGCATTTTTCTCCCTGGTACAGATATGGAAATCAAGGCACAGAGAAGTAGAGTCATTTGTCCAAGGTTACACAGCTCTTAAGTGCCAGAGCCAATATTTGAACTGAAGCAATCTCAGGTCTGAGAAAGGTGGTGTTCTGGGCCTTCCTCACTTGGGAGGCCATTTGCTTCAGGTTCCACACAGCACTCTCTATGCATACTTATTATTATTATGCTGATGCTTATTATGTTGGCTCTAGTGAATGATTATTATGTGGAATCTTCATATGAGATACATAGCAGAACTCCATACTCCTATCTTCTTTATAGTTCACTCTCCCTGACTGCCTGAGCAGAATTTCCCTTTCCTCTGTGTTCCCACAGCTGTTGGTGCTCAACACTCAGCACCCTGCATTATGGCTTTTTAGGTGTCCCCTCCTGGGAAGGCAGTACTGTACAGGGGTTAAGACCAGAGGCTCTGGAGGAGGAAAGATGGGGGTTCAAACCACAAACCACCACAAACTATGAGATCCTGGCAAGCCATTTCCTCATCTCTCTGATCCTTGATTTTTCTCACCTTTGGAGATGAGAAAATAATATCCACCTGCAACAGACACTTGGTTGTGAACCATATGGCCATTCCCAACTCCTGTCTCTCTTGCTGCCTCCCACTGCACAGACATTCCACATTCCCAGCCTCCCTTGCAGCTAGGGACAGTGTGAGAAATGCTCACCTGTCCAAACTCAAGTAACAGACTTGGAGAC